CCTAGTAAACATGACCAAAAGAGATCCTCACCATGACACGTTGTAATCAAACTCACCACAGTGAAACATAAAGATTCTAAAATGTGCAAGAGAGAAATGTCAGATTACTCTCAGAGGATCTCCAATTAGACTCACAGCAGACTTCTCATCAGAAACCCTACAGGCTAGGAGGGAATGGTGAGATAAAGCCCAGGTACTAAGACAGAAAATATGCCAGTCCAGAATACTATGTCCTGCAAAGCTCTCATTTGTGAATGAAGGTGAAATAAAGACCTTTCATAGCAAACCGAAATTCAAAGAATTTGTCGCCACTTGTGCAGCCCTGCAAAAGATGCTTAAAGATGTGTTACACACAGAAACACGGCCATCAATATGAAAAAAGGTACTGTGGGACTTCAATACTGCACTTTCAGAAATAGACAGATCATCCGGACAGAAGATCAACAAGGAAACAGCAGATTTAATCGACACTATAGCCCAAATAAATCTAACAGATATCTACAGAACCTTTCATCTTACACTTAAAGAATACACATTCTTCTCAGCAGTACATGGAACCTATCTAGGATTGACCACATACTCGGCCATAAAGCAAGTCTCGGCAAATTCAAAAGAATTAGAATCATACCATGCAGCTTCTTAGTTCACAGTGGAATGAAGCTGGACATTAGCAACTCAGGAATCCCTAGAGCATATGCAAACACATGGAGACTGAACAACATGCTCCTGAATGAACAATGGGTCATAGAAGAACTTAAAAGAGAAATCAAAAATTTTCTGGAAGTAAATGAGGATAACAATGCAATATATCAAAACTCATAGGATACAGCAAAAGCAGTGTTAAGAGGAAAGTTTATAGCAATAGGTGCCTACATCAAGAAACTGGAAAGGCACCAAATAAATGAGCTTTCAATGCATATCATGGATCTAGAAAACTGCAGCAAACCAGACCCAAAACTAGTAGGTGAAGAGAAATAATTAAAATTAGAGAAGATTTCAACAAAATTGAATCCAATAAAAACATTATAATAGATCAGCTAAATGAAAAGCTAGATTTTTGAAAAAATAAACAAACTTGACACACCATTGGCCCAACTAACTAAAAAAAGGAAAGACCCAAATCGATAAAATTGGAGATGAAAAAGGGAATGTAATAATAGACACCACAGAAATAATAAGAGTCATCAGAAATTACTAAAAACAGTTATATGCCAGCAAACAGGGAAATCTATCAGAAATGGATAGATTCCTGGACACATGCAACCGACCTAAATTGAACCAGGAAGACATAGAAAACCTAAACAGACCCATAACTGAGACAGAAATTCAATCAGTAATAAAGTCCCTCCCAACAAAGAAAAGCCCAGGACAGGATGGATTCACTGCTGAATTCTACCAGACATCTAAAGAAGAAGTAACTCCAATTCTTCTCAAACTATTCAGAACAATAGAAAAAGAGGGAATCCTCCCAAATTCTTTCTATGAATCCAGCATCACATTAATCTCTAAGCCGGAAAAAGATGCAGCATTGAAAGAAAATTACATACCAATATCCATGATGAACATAGATGCAAAAATCCTCAATAAAATTCTGCCCAATAGAATGCAACACCACCTCAGGAAAATCATCCACCCAGACCAAGTGGGATTTATCCCTGGTATGCAGGGATGGTTCAATGTGCGCACATCAATCAATGTGATGCACCACATTAACAGACTGCAGAAGAAAAACCACATGATTATCTCAATAGATGCAGAGAAAGCATTCGATAAAATTCAACACCCTTTCATGTTGAAAACTCTAAGGAAATTGGGTATAGAAGGAACATTCCTCAATACAATCAAAGCAATTTATGAAAAACCCATGGCCAACATCCTATTGAATGGGGAAAAGCTGGAAGCATTTCCATTGAGATCTGGTACCAGACAGGGATGCCCACTCTTCACCACTGCTATTCAATATAGTACTGGAAGTTTTAGCCAGAGTGATTAGCTAAGAAAAAGAAATTAAAGGGATACAAATTAGGAAAGAAGAAATCAAACTATCTCTCTTTGCAGATGATATGATTCTTTATTTAGGGGATCCAAAGAACTCTACTAAGAGACTATTGGAAATCATAGAAGAATTTGGCAAAGCAGCAGGATATAAAATCAATGCACAAAAATCAACAGCCTTTGCATACACTGGCAATGCCACAGCTGAGAAAGAACTTCTAAGATCAATCCCATTCACAATAGCTACAAAAACAATCAAATACTATCAAATAAACTTAACCAAGGACATTAAAGATCTCTACAATGAGAATTACAAAATCTTAAAGAAATAGAAGAGGATACCAAAAAATGGAAACATCTTCCATGCTCGTGGATTGGAAGAATCAACATCATCAAAATGTCCATTCTCCCAACAGCGATTTATAGATTCAATGCGATACCAATCAAAATAGCAAAGACATTCTTCTCAGATCTGGAAAAAATGATGCTGAAATTCATATGGAGACACAGGAGACCTCGAATAGCTAAAGCAATCTTGTACAACAAAAACAAAGCTGGAGGCATCACAATACCCGATTTCAGGACATACTACAGGGCAGTTGTTATCAAAATAGTATGATACTGGTACAGAAACAGATGGACAGACCAATGGAACAGAATAGAAACACCAGAAATCAATCCAAACATCTATAGCCAATTTATATTTGATCAAGGATCTAAAACCAATTCCTGGAGCAAGGACAGTCTGTCGCTCCCCCTCTTCGCGGAGGAACGACACAGGACCCTGCGCTGTTCTTTTGTCTGCTCAGCCCTCCCCAGGTTTGCTGCTGGTTCTTCCCGTGTTGGCTACCGTCCCTTCCACCTCCGTGGAAGGGCGGTTCCCCCTGCCACTTTCCCCACTTCCGCGGGGGAGCGGCACACCGCCGGCCGGCTCTCTCGGGGGGCTGCACAGGTGTTCCTTCAGATAGATGTTCCCCTTAGATGTTCCTGGTGCATGTTGTCTCTCTCCTCCTTTATAGTCCTCTTCCGCCAATCCCAACTCTGCTACCCACACGCCGAGTACGCTGCTCTCCTCCAATCAGGAGCAGGTCCTGCTGTTATTTGGTTGAACTGGAGGCAGCTGTGTAGAAGCTGTTTCCTCCTCTCCCAGCGCCATATTGTGGGAGAGCAGATGCATAGAATAAGTCTTAATTCCAGTAACTTAGTCTAGTCCGAGTTGCTCCCAGTTGCTCCCCACAACAGTCTATTCAAAAAATGGTGCTGGGAAAACTGGATTTCCACACACAAAAGCATGAAGCAAGACCCCTACCTTTCACCTTATACAAAAATCCACTCAACATGGATTAAAGATCTAAATCTACGACCCGACACCATCAAGTTATTAGAGAACATTGGAGAAACCCTACAAGATATAGGCACAGGCAAAGACTTCTTGGAAAAGACCCCAGAAGCACAGGCAGTAAAAGCTAAAATTAACAATTGGGATTACATCAAATGGCAAGTTTCTGTACTGCAAAAGAAACAGTCAGGAGAGTGAAGAGGCAACCGACAGAATGGAAAAAAATATTTGCAAACTATGCAACAGATAAAGGATTAATAACCAGAATCCACAAAGTGATCAAGAAACTCTACTATAACAAAACAAACAACCCATTTAAGAGATGGGCCAAGGACCTCAATAGACATTTTTCAAAAGAGGAAATCCAAATGGCCAACAGACACATGAAAAAATGTTCAGGATCACCATCCATCAGGAAAATGCAAATCAAAACCACAATGAGGTTTCACCTCACCCCGGTTAAATAGCTCACATACAGAAATCTACCAACAACAGATGCTGGTGAGGATGTGGGGAAAAAAGGACACTAACCCACTGTTGGTGGGAATGCAAATTGGTAAAGCCACTATGGAAGTCAGTTTGGAGATTCCTCAGAAACCTGAATATAACCCTATCATAAAACCCCCATCCCACTCCTTGGAATTTACCCAAAGGAAATTAAATTGGCAAATAAAAAAGCTGTCTGCAACTCAATGTTCATTGCAGCTCAATTCACAATAGCTAAGACTTGGAATCAACCTAAATGCCCAAGAATCCAACATGGGAAGCGGGATACACAGCAGACTCATAGAATGGCAGATGTCCTGAACAGCACTCTGGCCTCAGAATCAGCCCTTAAGGCATTCGGATCCAGCTAAAAAGTCCACGAGAGTATTTCATGCACGGAAAGCCAAGACACTCTGGCAAAAAAAAAAAAAATGACCTAAATGAAAGATCTCTGTGAGATCCCAGCGGAAAGAATGGGCCATCAAAGGAGGAGGTACCTTTCTCTGAAGGGAGGAGAGAACTTCTGCTTTGACTATGGCCTTGTTTAAATAAGAGCAGAGTTGGCAAACTCAAAAGGCTTCCATAACCATTGCAACGCATGAGAAGAGCCTCAGGTGATTACTGATGCCATAAACAAGAGTGTCAATTGTTAAATCAACAACGGGAATCACTGTGCACTTACTCCCCATGTAGGATCTCTGTCCTTAATGTGTTGTACTATGTGAATTAACGGCATAACTAGTAGTCAAACAGTACTTTATTCTTTGTACTTCTGTGTGGATGCAGTCTGTTGAAATCTTAGTATATACTAAATTGATCTTCTGTATATAAAGATAATTGATATGGGATGGGAGAGGGAGTGGGAGATGGGATGGTTGCGCGTGGGAGGGAGGTTATGGAGGCAAAAAGCCACTGTAATCCCAAAGCTGTACTTTGGAAATTTATATTTATTAAATATAAGTTTAAAAAAAAGAAAAGAAAAATGATAAGTACAAAATGTTATTAAATTGTTTGCCAAATCTGCAAGAAAAAATTGAAACTCTGACTCTCATATCATGAATTCCTCAATGACAAAGTTTACTAATAAATTTAATTCTGGCAATTAAAATGATCCTATCCAATCACTGTAATAGTTGCGTGCATATGTTCTTAAATAGGAAAACAACCATTAGTAACCTACCTGGTCTACCTCGTATAGGTGTAGATACATATAGAGGTGGTACAGTATTCTGTGAGGAAACTGAAGCGGTACTACTAGCTTGATCAGCTGCTGTACAGTTAGATAAAACTGGAGCTGGAACATTATTGGCACAGGAAGCTGCAAGTACTGGAGAATTTCCCATCTCCTATAAGTGCAGAAAAAGTTCAGAACTCTTAAGTTTGGTTTCTCAAACTAATTTTAGTTCCTTATCTAATCCTAAAATTCAGGATATAATTTTGATAACTAAATGACTAAGAAGTTCATCTCACATAAATGCTATGTAGGAAGGTTATTTCTTTTAGAAGATCCCAGATTCATTTGAAAGCTTTAACTTTTTATGATTTTATTTATTTGAATGGCACAGTTACACACAGAGAGAGGGGAAAAGTCACACAGAGAGATCTTCCATCCACTGGTTCATTCCCCAGATGACTGCAACAGCCAGGGCTAGGCCAGGTTGAAGAGAGGAGCTTCATCCAGGTCTCCCACATGGGTATAGGAGCCCAAGCACTTTGGCTGTCCTCAGCTGCTTTCCCAGGCACACTAGCAGGGAGCTGGATAGGAAGTGGAGCAGTCAGGACTTGAACCAGTGCCTACTTGAATGCCAGTATTACAGGCAGTGGCTGAATCTGCTATGGGACAACACTGGCTCCAAACGCTTTAACTTCTAAATCTATTATTTTCATGAAAATATATAAATGAGATTCACAAATCAAGTATCAAATTGTATACAATGAAAAGTTTCCTTCCAACCTGTATTCTACTTGCCTCACTACCTCTTCCCCAAACAGATAATCTATGAGTTTCCTGTATATGGTTACAGAGATTTGTGATACATATCCAGTTTGTCACATTTTTTAAAATAATCACACACTTTTTAAACAGGAAAGGTGCTTTGCATATTTGGTAACTTCATGGGACTACAAGTTTTTTTCTGTTTATGACACAGACTACTTTCCCACAGCATCCAGTCCAAGTTTGTGCAGAGATAATAAATAAATGGCAAGACTCTTCTTGAACACACTGTCCTCACTGTCAGTTCCATTTCCTTACCACCCACGGAAATGTGCCTACTACCCTTACCCTCTCTGGTTTTCCAAAACTGCTTTCAAAGTCATCAGTAGTCTCCATGGCAACAAACCATAATAGACTTATTAATCCTTATGTTGCTTGACTTTTTAGCAGCAACTGATACTTGACTGCTCCTTGAAACTCTCTTTTCCAGGGGCTTCCAGATTAATACAATTTCCTACTTTTCCTCCCCCCGACTGTTCCTTCTCTACCCATTTTGTAAAATTTGTCGACTCACATACTCTGTTCTAGATTCTTTTCTCAATCTCTTGCACTTCCCAGGATGACTATTTACTCCTAGGGTTCCAGTTATCTTTTTATGCTGACTCCTTATTCCACAGGAGAACTTTAAACTTAAGCTTCAGTAAAATAGATCTGACAGGTAATTTATATTAACTCATTCATCACAGAAGAGGTTCACAGTAGGTTGACTATGAGTAGTCTAATGCCAGCACATAGAACAGTGTCTGGAACACAGTAGATTCTTAATCAATTTTATTGAATGAATTTACACAATCACTGTGTCAGGTACCACAAGGTATTAATAATATTAAAACACAATCAGCTGTTTGAACTATTACAGAGATAAAAGAAAATAATTTTTCTCTGTTCAGATCACTGTAATGATTTGATAACAGATTACCTTTTGGGGGTAGCTGAATGAGGTAACTGCATCCTGAGGAGGTACAGAACATGGCCTTCTGTCCTGAAGAGACTTTAAGGAATACAGAAATACAACTGAATAAAGTGAAATCAAGAAACCAAACCTCACATCAATAAAAGATCTGCTTAACATATAAAATCAAATGAAAGTGATCTGTCCTGAAATAATGCAAATTTGAAAGTGATAGGTAATACTGCTCTAAAAGGTGTCACTCTAGAGCCTGATTTGGGTGACTGTTTTGTTACCTACCTACCGAGATCCTGATCACATAACTCTAGTCCCAAGGCAGATTCTAAAATCTAACTGAAATTTTAACCCTTTCTCAGTAGGCTTTCTTGCTTTAGAAGTAGAACCATCAATAGTTTTGCTAAAGGACTCTATTCTATCTCATAATGTAGCTTGGGACAAGGATGGGCTAGCTGACTGCATCTTTTTTAAAGATTAATTTATTTATTTGAAAGGAAGAGAGAGAGAGAGAGAGAGAGAGAGAATGAATGAATGAATCTTCCATCTGTTGGTTCACTTTGCAAATTGACCCAATAGCTGGAGCTGGGCTGATCTGGAGTCAGGCACCAGGAACTTCCTCTGGGTCTCCCATGTGGGTGTAAGGGCCCAAGCATTCGGGCCATCCTCCATTGCTTTCCCAAGAGCATCAGCAATGAGCTGGATTGGAAGTGGAACAGCCGGGACTCGAACCAGTGCCCACATGGGATGCCAGCACTGCAGGCAGCAGCTTCACTTGCCATGCCACAGTGCCCGCCTCATGACTGCATCTTATCTAAGCAAGATGTAGTAGGATCCAAATACTACTTCCCTTGGGCTGAAGAGCTTATCTTTATAAAAGTAAAGATGGTTTTGAAGGCCTCAAATTCATGTAAGAGAGACTATGATGGCAGCAAAAACTCTCACAGGAGAAACTGGTAATACTGGTCAATATGCAGAAAGAATCAGGGAAACAATCACAGGAAACAACAGGAACCATACTGTGAAAAGGAGCCCCACTTAACAAGATGGCTCATTTCCAAAGTTTGTGTTCAAGTACAGCCAAAGCACCTGCCTAAAGACAAACATTTACCCTAGCTCAGAAGGCCCTGTGCGGGTGTTAAACAACTATGGAGAAGGATTTAGTTGAGCGATGAACATGGAATAAATGTTTATGGTCTCCTGGAAGGCTCTGTACCTAGAAACATTTATTCAAATCCTATATTAGGCTTCCATCCCTCAGAATAATATGAAAAAAATCTTTAGAAATTTGCTATGGATTTGGCAGCTTGGGGGGGCGGGTGGGCATGGGGAACATCATGAAGAGACTGTAGGCTATGGTAGGCTATGATAAAGCAAATTGAGAAGAAAAAGGAACATGTGAAAAATGAAATTAAAAACAAAAGAAAGTACCTAGTATTAGCATGCTTAATGGCTAGATTTTTAACTACCATTTTCACTTGAATGGCTATTTCAAAAGCAGGTATAAAAGCATGTGATATGAGAACAGTAATGGTGAGGTGGAGGAAAAACTGTTTCTTTAAAAGGTGCAAAGTAAGAGAACAAAGGAGGAGAAAATAATTACATATCAGAGTTTTTTTCTCCTTCCTAAGATGAATTGCCTAAATAGTAAAAAAAAGAAAAAAAAATTACAGAAAGCTGCCAAGGTTAAGTATAAACCTAATTAGAGAACAGAGGGTAATTATTAGTAAGTACTTAAATATTCCAGTTCTCATTTTGAGTTTCTAGTGGGATGGTCCTTTCCAGCCCCAAATAAAATTAAGTATTGCCAGGTAACTTGTTTGGACACTGAAATATAAGCAGTAAGGTTAACTGCTGGTGTTCAATTTCTGTATCTTTGAACTACTGAAGTGATTGTGAAAGTACACATCCATCAGCCTGCGTCCCTGAGGATCATGAAGAACAGATACCTGCTACATCCTGCACTGGACATATAACATTGGCAGCAACAACTTTTCTGGTGATAAGCCTTTGGGATTTTGAGGGCTATTTGACAGCATAACTTAATTTGAGTAAAACAGATGTAACTAAGAGTATGTGTTGTACCCAAAATCTAACTGAGATTGTGAATGCATAGCTCTTAGGAAAAGAGACTCAGAAAATTGAATGTTAACACTGTGTTTTGACTACTGGTGGCAAAGTTTAGCAAGATATGAGAATACTTCAAAAAGTGGAAATGGAACTTAAAGGTCTTTTGGTATAACAAATTCTGAAATCCATGTAGTTTTTCATAATACTGATTTTCTAGGAAAGTTCTGAAGACAGACATGTGTAAGAATTAGCCGATTGCAGGCAGGAATAAAAGGGAATAGAGAGTCTTTGCATACAGGAACTCTTAGGGTAGAAGAAGCAACTGTTTTTGATCTTAAACTGTAAAAGATCAAACTGATAAATGAATTACTCAAAGAAACTATAAGCCAGAACTAAAAACCATTCAGCTGAGATAAAAACCACCCTTGGACTCACCATTAACTACAATCAACTACAAGCTCAATCAACTAATCTTTGACAAACAAGCTAAAATCAATCCCTAGAGAAAGGATAGTCTATTGAACGAAAGGTGTTGGGAAAATTGGATCTACGCATGCAGAAGTATGAAACAAGACACCTTATGCAAAAATCAACTCGCAATGGATCAAGAATCTAAATCTACAATTTTTTACCATCAAACCACTAGAGGAAAACATAAGGGGTATTTATGCAAGATATGACAAAAGATTTCTTGGAAAAGACTCCAGAAGACCAGGCAATAAAAGCAAAAATTGACAAATGGTATTACATCAAGTTAAGGAGCTTCTTCACTGCAAAAGGGAACATGCAACAAAGTGAAGAGGCAACACAGAATAGGAGAAAATATTTTCAAACTATGCAACTGATAAAGGATTAGTATTTACAATCTATAAAGAGCTCAAGAAACTCGACAATAATAAAACAATCAAGAAATGGGCAATGGATATGAACAGGCATTTTTTAAGGGATAAAATACAAATGGCCAACAGACATATGAAAACATGCTCAGGATTACTAGCCATCAGGGAAATGCAAAAACCGCAATGAGGTTTCACCTTACCCTAGTTCGAATGCCTATCATCCAAAAATAAAAAAAAAAAGTAACTGCTGGGGAGAGTGTGGGGATAAAGGTACCCTAAGACACTGTTGGTATAACATTATGGAAGACATTATGGAGACTCCTCAGAAATGTGAAAATGGCTCTCTCATATGACCCAGCCATCCCACTCCTGAGAATTTACCCAAAGGATATAAAAGCAGCATATGAGTTATTTGTTTATTACATGTTTATTATGGATCAATTCACAATAGCTAAGATATGGAATCAACCTAGATGTCCATCAACTGATGAATGGATAAAGAAAATGTATATACACACTATGGAATACTACTCAGTCTTAAAAAAAGAATGAAGTCCTATCTTTGGCAATAAAATGGAAGCAACTAGAAACTATTATGCTTAGATAAGCCAGCAAGTATGTTTTTGCTTACATGTAGTAGTTAACACAGAATATAAAAAAATTATAGGAACCAAATATCTTGTGATTTGATCATTGTTTCTAGCCCTTGTTTATACACCTGTAGAACTGTGGTCTTTTTTTTGTATTTATTTTTTAAGGAATACAAATTTCATAAGTAAAACTTTAGGAATATAGTTATTCTTCTCATCATACCCGCCCTCCAACCCTTGCTCTCACCCTTCCTCCTCCTCCCTCTCCCCTTACCAGTCCCAATCTCCATTAAGATTTATTTTCAATTAACTTTGTACACAGAAGACCAACTTTATACTAAGTAAAGATTTCAACAATTGCCCACATACACACGCACAGTTTGAGAACTAGTTTTACAGTTAACTCTCATAAATGCAACTCATTGAGGACAGAAGTCCTGCATGGGGAATTAGTACTCAGTGACTCCCGTTGTTAATTTAACAATTAACACTCATATATGACGTCAGTGACCACCCGAGGCTCTTGACATGAGCTGCCTAGGGGAACTGTGGACTTTATTTAAGAAAAAAAAAACACAAACTTCTATCTTATTTTATAAACATTGTAAACAAATTTGTTCATGAATTTGGCAATTGAGAATTGATTGGTTAAAGTAACCAAATACAATGTGGAGCTATCATGAAGAAGGACATGGAATTGGATCTGTGTTCTTTAAATTACTTGTTGAACATTATGGTTAGTGGTGCATTATGCCTGATTATACAGTGGACTTAAATTATGTTCCTGCAAAAATTAAAGAGGAAAAAAGAAAGGAAGAAAGGAGGGAGATTGGAGAAGGGAGAGAAGTATAGTTATCTTCCTAGAATTGTACCTATGGCATACATGAAATCAGTTATCTTTATATTAATAAAAATTTGAAAAAAATAAATGACTCTTAAAAAAAAATGCCTGGGGCCCCCATTTTCTGTAAGAAGCAGGCTGAAAAAGCTTCTCAGTTGCCAGGGAATAATCATTCTCCAATGCCTATTTCAAATATAGCCAAGGAAAGAAGAGCCTTGGAACCACCAAAAGATACCAGAAACAATGAACCAATGAATAGTTCCCCATTTATTGGTTGGCGCTGTTCATAATGTTTGCCTATGAAGATTTCAGAATTGCTATGGGACAGTAACTATGTTTCTACCATTTTCTTCCTTTCTAGGGATTTTCATTGCAATATTTTAGCCCCTGTTTTGTAACTAAAGCCTGGATATAGGTGGGCACAGTAAAACTTTTGCTTTAGGCCTCAGCATAAAGAGGAGAGATATTTGGATCCAACATAAAGAGTTTAACAAATTACCCAGAAATCCTGGGCTTTAAGTTTGATTACACTGAATGGAAATTTTAGGCTGTCTCTTCTGGGGGTAGAAACAAGTATTTTGCCTGTGGGATGGAGAGGGAGAACTAGTTCAATACTGTAAGTCCTTAATGCTGTCAACATTTTGCCTTCCAAGAACAAATAAATTAGAGTTTTCAGGTGGATCTGCTCTGGCCAGTAGAAAACAAAGTGCCATGTGTCACCTCTGATAGAAGCTCTAGGAGTCAGTGTACCATTTACCCACTTTTATTACCCACTTTGGCAATCAAGAGATGCAGCACCCATCACTCTGTGTCACTAAGTCCTTGTAGACCTCTGCTGGACATGTAGCATAACCAAGAAGCAAATTTTTGCTGTATTAAATGACTGAGATTTTTCATTTTAACTGATAAAAAATAATAAAATCCTCTAAAAATCATCACTGCCAATGTTAGAATTTCCTCTTCTACTAACAACAAATATTAGGAATATCCCTTAATTAAATTAAATATCCCTAAATTAATCCCTAATTTCAGAATTTGAGTATGATATTGGATGAGTTATTTAATTTCTATATCTACAAAATCAGAATGATACTAATTGCCTCATGGATTTGAATATATTTATATGCATAGCTCCTAGAATAGTGCCCTAGTACATATGGCTCAGTGTTTGCCATTATTAAGTACCTACCAAGTTTGCTGTAGATGCAGTTGTGCTGTAAACACCTGAAGTTTCATAGTCTGGCTCTAGAGAATACAGCCAAAGTAAAGTAAAATATGAGCATTATTTTATCATTTGAAATCCCATAAATAGTGACGATTGTCATTATATCTATATCTCACTGACCTGAAGGATAAAGATATTCTTCATGATATACCCCTAGAAAAAAAAAGACAGAAGTATATTTATAGTTTTTATTAGCTTGAGAAAGCAAAATGGCCAACACTTGATTTTCCTAAGTTGTTTTTTCACTTTTTAAATTTTTTCCTAAGTTTTATGGTTATATGTTCAAAACTAAACTCCATACATCCTTAGAAGTCATTTGAGCTTTCATACTTGTTGACAGATACTGAAGCCAAAGACCAGCAATAAACAACACAAATTTCTCCTGAAAATTCTCTTAGCTTGTAAGAGTTCAGGTAGAGGTAAAAAACCCAGCTGTGTTCAGTGCTTCTAGGGAGGCAGTACAGTGTAGCAGTACAAAGGGCCTGGAGCTAGGACTGCCTGAATTTGAATCCTAGTTAGCTACATGACTTTAGGCAAGCTATTTAATATTTGTACCTCAATTTCTTCACTGTAAAATGGATAATAGTATCTAGCTTATATGGGTTTTGAGTAGGGTTAACAAGAGTGAAAAAAATTTAGAATTTTTGACATATAGTATAGATTACAGTCAACTCAAATGTTGAGCATAATCTTAGTATAACTCAGTTTCCTGAGGTGGATAATAAAGGAATAAGCTATGACTTATATATTTTATGCCTTTTTCATGCCAGTAATACATGTAGTACCATTTTTCCTGAAAGGAAGGCTCAATAGATTGAAGTACTTTAAGATCTCTGTACTATTGAGATGCAGAGTAAGGATAGTTTTCTACCAAATAAAACTCTACCAATCTGAACTGAAGGTGAGAACAAAGATCTGGTCACTTTAAATGTGCCACAATGGGTGAGCAGTTTATCTGAAGTTACCCACAGGGATAAGAAGAAAAAAAAAAAACAAAGAGGAAGCATCCTTACGCACATGCATACACACACGTGCATAACATTTTCACAAATTGGACTGGTGCTGTATTTTTGATTCTCATTAAGTTCCTAGAAATATCTACTGTATTTTCTTCTACATGATAGTAGAAGGAGGAATATTATAAAACAAGAAACATACTGAAATCAAGTCATTCAGAATGTCTCACACTGCCTTACGTCATCCAATCTTCCAGAACAGTTTCAGTAGGCATATATCATTTACTAGTGAAATGGCAAAAAATAAGCATACTCCTAGTAGGAGGCAATATGACATCTGTTAAGAGCATTCATATATGCATATGTATGTTATGTGTGTATGCTTTAAAGTCAGATACACCTGAGTCCAAAATCTATCTCTGCAGTCACATAGAGCCACTACTTTAAAAAGTTCATGGAAAAAAAAAACTAAAGATAATGCATATTTTCCATGAGCTTTTATGAAGACCCTCATACTATCTAAAAAGGCCAGAATAAGTAAGTCCATAGAGACAGAAAACATACTGATGTTTACTAATGGCTGGGAACAGGGGTGGTTACATGATGTGGGGAATAGGTGCTGATGGGCACTAAGTTTCTCTCTGGGGTAATAAAAATGCTATAATATTAATTATGGTGATGGCTATGCAATTCTGAATGTAATAAAAACACTGAATTATACACATTAAATAGGTAAAAAGTTGTATCTTAATAAAGTTGTTATATAAACACACCTCTACCATTTACCAAGAGTATGATCATGGCCATGGCCATGTCATTTGAATCTCACATTTCCTCACAGATAAAATAGGAATATTGCATTCCTTAAAAGAGTACAGAAATAATGATATTAAAGTATAAATAAGCCTATTAAAATGGATGTCACATAGGATTCAATAAATAGTACTGTGTATAGGTCAACTAAACTGTGAGTGAGGAGACACTCCATAGCAGTCTTGTAAAATAACAGCTAGTCATATGAAAAGGTCAAAGTAGTTAAACAAATGCTAAGGGGAACTATGAATAGTACCTTACTAATAAGAAACAGGTTTTCCATCCTGATATCTCACCAATAAAACTCACCAAAGTCCTATGTAAAGACCTAGAAATTAGTTATAACAATATAATGGCCTACTGAAATAAAAGCCTGTCCTTCTGAGAATTACCAGGACATCTTCCAAACTCCAGCAGGTTCTGGGACAAGGCCTTAAAACATTTCCAAAATAAACTACTAGAACAAAGACAAGACCCTAGACCCAAATTTTTGGTCTACTTCACAACCCTGATGTGAAAATACCCTAAGAATCCTCTTTTAAAAAACATTGAACATTGACTCACCACTATCACCCTGACCATTATTCTCTTCTGCATTCAAAGGCTGTTTGCCTGTACTATGTCCTCGCCTTGCAACACAGTATCCTGAATTAGCAGGAACCATTGTAGAGGGACCGCCATGATTCTGTATCAAAAAGAAACACAAGTGTATTCTTTGTATAGTCAGAAAAGAAAAGAGGATATTCTGAAAGGCAATTAGTAACAAAGAGTAACAATGTGAATCGCTATTGTCAGAGAATTCTATAAGTACATGTTTTAAGTGTATTTTAAAATTAATGATCAATAGAAAACATAAGTATATACATACATGTATACATGTATCTATGTATATGCATATATATAAGATTATGTGTCTATTTCTAGCCCATTCTCTACAAACAGCTTAAAAAGTTTTTCTCTTTGAAAGCTCTAAGATGAAAACTTGTATTCTTCAGAAAAGTCGTTATTTGGTTGCTCATACAAAAAGCTAAAATTTATCCACATTGTCTTTACTTATAAAGAAAAAAAAACTAAACAGCTTTTTGAGTAAAGCTTTGACCACTTACAGGTAAAGCTGGATAAGCAGTCTCGCCCCCTTCTTCCACTTCATAAAAAGTAACAGTTTCTTCCAAGCTCCTGGGCATCTGTCCGTTTTCTGGGACAAAGCCATATTGGAAGTTCTTATTCATACAATGCATCTGGCGGTGACTACGTCTAAAGGAGCTTAAGTAGTTTAGAGAATGAAAAAGGAAAAATGAGAAAATATGGCAGTAACTTGTTTCCCATTTCTAAGTAACACTTCAAATATCTGAAGTTAACACTTTTTAGTCTATATTATCATTGCTCAGCAACGAAACCAGACTTCACCATTTATTTTTTTCTGACTTCCAACTCTTTTAAAATACTTACCGAGATCTATAGGAGAAGTTATCATAGTTCTGGCAGCACCTTTTTCCTGGGCCAGAATAAAAACCAACTTTAGGGCCTGGCATGTTTTGCCTGTTGATAAAGTGAGATGAATCCCTAAGAATAAACGGAAAGGAAAAATACAACTCTTTACTCACTTATGCCTGAGTAGTCATTGTTGAAATTAAGAAGAAGTAAAACACCTTTCTAAAAACATCCAACTAACAAGATTTGCTCTTTCCAACATACTGGCATAAGGCATATCCATTACTAATGGATACAGTGGCATATATCACATGGACATTCATCTTCATGACATTTTATCTTCTAGCATCTCTTCAACAGCTTTACCTTTTCCTAGACTATGAGATGCAAAAATGCCAACAACTTCATTTGACAATAATTTAACTGTACAGAAGTTCTATCTTCCATGCTCTCTTTAGGCAGAGAATTATTCAGATTTTTTTTCAATTCTACTATAATTCCATGCAGGTATTAGAAAATTCTAAGACCTAAACAGGACATATATTATCTTGAAAGTCTTACCTAGGCATCCCACATCCCCGACCTTGTCTTGGAGATGAATATTGAGGATGAAAATGTTCATTAGGCATAACATTGCCAGCTGCCTGTGAGTAGTGCAATGGAGGCTCATGCCCATAATGCATGCTATGCTGAAGTCTGGCCGGAAAGAGGGGGTCTCCTCTGCTGTAAGCCATTGTCATATAAACCTCTTTTCCTCGAACTTTCTTGAATATTTTCTTCCGCTGCTTCATGTCCATCTCTACCATAGCTTTCAGGCATACAAAGAAGTACCAAATAAGCTTCATAGCCAAAGCAATACATCTAGCATCCCCTAACCCCCATGCTGCCTTAAAGTTTCAGTAGCTTTAATGAGGAATAAATCAAATACAGGGAGAACATTTTTGTATCTTTCAAGGATATACCGAAGTCTTCCATTTAGAATAGCAAAACCAGCAGATAATTTCTATACCAATGAGTAGTTCAGTGTTACCTTTATAGGCCGCACTGAATTCAAAATATTAAGTCATCCAGTCACCTACATCACTATTTTACAAGAAATTATGCTGGGGCCAGCACTGCGGCATAGCGGGTAAAGCCGCCTGCCATCTGCAGTGCTAGCATCTCATATGGGTGTCGGTTCAAGTCCTGGCTGCTCCATTTCCTATCCAGCTCTCTGCTATGACCTGGGAAACAGTTGAAGATGGCCCAAGTTACTTGGGCCCCTTGCACCCACGTGGGAGACCCAGAAGAAACTCCTGGCTTCGAATTGGTGCAGCCCCGACCATTGCAGCCAATTGAGGAGTGAAGCTACGGATGGAAGATCTCTCTTTCTCTGCCTCTCCTTTCCTCTCTATGTAACTCTGACTTTTAAATAAATAAATAAATCTTTTTAAAAAAAGAAATTATGCCTGTTAGTATCTTTGGCTGCTTCTTAGAAAGTACTTTCTTAGTTCTTTGAGAAATTTCCCCCTCAAGTTTTGCAGTCTAAAATGTACACCAGCTTAAGTTTCACAAAGTCTCCTAGAACAGTGGTTTTCAACGAGGAAAAAATTTTCCCCTTCCTCCCTCAAGGTATATTTGGAATGTCTGGAGACATTCCTGGTTGTCATAATCAGAGGCAGAGTGTGCTACTGACATCTAGTGTGTAGAAGCAAGGGATGCTTCGAATCACCCCACAATGAAGTATTATCCATCCCAAAATGTCCATAGTGCCGAGGCTGAAAAACTTTACCCTAGAATAAATAAATAAATAAAAAAAAAACCCTACAACATAAGAAAAAGGTCCAAAAGAAAGGAAAAATAAAAGCCTTTAGTATACAAACCCATTTCTGGAACATAGCCCCCAGGCATTTTCTGGTAACCTCTTCCTTTCCGACTGGGCATAGCATTCCAGGCAGGAACAGGTGGCACTTGGGTAACTGCTTTTAGGTTAGCCAGCGGAACAACATGCCTTAAAATCAGAAGTACCACCATGAAGCCACTGTAACTCAGACTTACCTCTCATTCAATATGCATATTTTACACCTCCTGCTACATTTTAAAGTGTATTCTATTTAAACTTACTGACATTAGCTTTCCTATTTCATTTTTTTTTCTTTTCTTTTAGGTTAGAAAACCTAAGACTAGTTTGTAAAGCTTCAAAATGTGTGTAGCTTGTATCTTATATCCAGAAGACTGTGGTAGACTGTTTAGTTCAAACATTTGCTGCTCCTTCTTAGAGAAGGATTTTATTTCACCACCCCACTGACATCAGACTTCACTAGGTAAAACTTTGGTCAGTAATGTATGAGAAGTTATAAGGATCAGCAGCTGGTTTGTCACACTCTCATTTCTTTCCCTGCCTGTGCTTACAGAAGCACATATCAGAAAAGAGCCACTATTGGACCCACTATGGACATGCTAAATGAGACAGAAATTACCTTTCTTGTTTTAAACTGCTGAAATTTCTTTGATCGTTAGGGCAATGTAGCCTCAATTAATGGTTCTTAAAGTGAGCCAACTGCATTAGCATCACCTGGAAATATGTTAGAAGTTCAAATACTTAGATACTACTCCAGACTTACTAAATCAGAAACACTGGGGATTGAGCTCACCAATCTGTGTTTTCATAAGCTTTCTAGGTAATTCTAGTATATGGTAGTTTCAGAAGGACTGGTCTAGCTTATCTTGATACTGGCAGAGGCTCAGTTGGCAAAACTCCTTTCCAATTACTATGAACGGTTTTCAACCATAATTTTCTTGTACTTAATTTAATCTTTCTCATGAGTTGGTTAGTACCTAAGATTTGGAAACTTATACATAAGTGGTACTTATGCTGTTATTTCCTACTTCAACATATGCTTTTTGTAATTCAAGATGACATCTTAGGCAAGTACCAAATATAACTCTGGTTTCTTACTAGCATCCTATTCTCAAGCTAATATTATGAAAAGCTATCAGGATCCAAAGATTTTAGTAATTCAACACATTGTTATACTCTTACTTTTCTGCCAGTTCTTCAATGAAGACTGTTACAGAATTGTTTTCATTTCCAACTTCCTGAATATGAGCATTATAGTATCTTCCACTTGATTCCAAGCGAACCTAAAAGAGAGAAGAGATAGTAAGAATTCTTCTAGTCTCAAGTCTATTGACAGATCTGGTTTCTATCAAACAAAAATATCACTCTCCTCCAAAGGGAGTTCAGTATTTACTCTGTAAAGTAATTGATAACAACACTGCCCGTCTGAGACAATGGAGGTTGTACATAATGAAAGAGTTATATCAAACCACAGAAGTTTGTTGTTAAAATTTAATACAAACATCAACAACATTTTGCTAGCATTTTGTAAATAAGTCTTGCTCAACTTATGAATGACTAAAAGTCCAACCCTGGAGAAATAAATTGATTCTTTCAAAGAACTAACCTGGCACTTGTCTCCCAAATAGTACTGCCTCCCAGCATATTCCATGTAATTAGATTTTTGAAGTTCTATTTGAAAGAAAACAAAGATTGAAACTCAACTGAATTGGTTAACATTCCTATGTTACATCACTTAATTTCCTAATTTACTTTTACCATAGTGCATTTGACAATGCTACCACTATAAATTAAAATTTGGGGTGGGGAACACTGAAAGGGCCATTCTATCACTCTTCAGATGTTATTTCTGTGGTCAATGTAAAGTGACTTACCAGAACAGTTTTGTACTTTAAAATACAAATAATTAGAATTTCAGATATAATCTTAGAGTTGATCAAACATTAATTAAGGTACAATTTGAAAGTAACATTATACAACTTTTTTTTATTTTAAAGACTTATTTGAAAGGGAGAGAGAGAGAGGAAGAGAGAAAACAAGATCCATCAATTTATCTGCCAGGTCACTCCCCAAATGGCTGCTGTGACCAGGGCTGAGCCAGGCTGAAACCAGGAGCTTCATTAGGGTCTCTCATGTGAGTGGCAGGGCCCCAAGCCCTTGGGCCATCTTCTCATTTTTTCCCAGGGGTATTAGCAGTGATCTGTATTTGAAGTGGAACAGCCAGGACTGGAATTGGCACCCATACGGGATGCTGGCATTGAAGGCAGTGGCAATTTAACTCACAGTCCCATAACTCCAGCCACTATACAGTTTCTTTAAAACAGACTTTTAAAATTACCAACATGAGGTCTTAACACCTTCTAGATTATGTCTAGGTACACTGAAGTTCAAGAAGATGAATGTGAAACCTTAAAGGATTAACCTGGAAGCAGTACTTTAAGGTATAGTTTGATCAATTTAGTTACCTTATAAGAAGAATACAATTATCTATTTCAAGGGTTAGCAAGCTTTTTGTGTAATGAGCCAGAGATTAAGAAACTGTCAGAACTATTCAAGTCCACTGTAAAACTTTAGGGGCAACATTCAGCATAGTGATTAAGACACTGCTTGGAATACCCACATCCCATGTCAGAGTGCCTGGATTCAAGTCCTGGTTCCATTCCTGATCCCTCAGCCTCTGAGTCAACAAGTGATGGCTCAAGTAGTTGAGTCCCTGGCATCCATGTGGGAGACCTGAATTGAGTTCCCAGCTCCGCCCAGCCCCAACTGTTACAGGTATCTGCAGAGTGAATAAGCAGAGGGGAGATCTGTGTTTCTCTTTCAAGTTAAAAAAATATTTTATTTATAAACAATGAAATCTGAATTTTATATAATTTTTGTGTCACAATATACTGTTATTTTATTTTTCTGTCATTTAAAAGTAACCATTCTTAGCTCATAGACCACACAAAAATAGGTTGTAGGTCATATTTGGTTAATGGGTCTGACCTATTCATTCATCAGTTAAGAGTAATCTTAATACTTTAAGAAGCCCCAGACAAGCATTAGATTCTAAACGATTCCTCCCCATTTCTAAACCTATTTGCTTCCTTCCAACTTTAAATCATATCTCGAGTAATAAAAGTACTAGATTGGTTTTGACAACAATATGTTGTCAACATGTCTTATAAGAAACTTCTCCTGGCTCTGTCAAGATTCAAAAGTACCTTGGTGATATTTTATTACCTTTTCTGCTGTCCAACCAAACATCAAATTCTACATTACGATAGATTTCTGGATCCAGGGCTTTGAGCACCTTATAGGGGAAGAGCATCTTTGATGGATTTTCTGGAGACTAAAAGAAAAATAATCATGCTGCAAACTCACCATCCTTAGCTTGAATATTTCTTCTTTGAGTAAGGAAGAATTAAGGTTCTTGTCTTCCTATCTCCCTTTCTTTATTAAAATAATAGCACAAATTTTACTGTGTATTTTAAAAATCAGGAAACTAAAGAAGTAAATTGCAAATAATTTAAAAGCATTTAGATAGCAGAAGGGAAACAACACCTAGGAAAATCAACAACTCTATTTTTCAAGTGTCATCTTGATATACACACGGAGGTACAAGTATAAACCTTAAAATCACTTGAAAATATCAGAAAGGTTTACTTTATTTTTGGTGAAATTGTTACAATTTCCAAAGAAACTACCATCTTTTACTGCTTTCTTAGAATTTAACCATATTCAGTATTATTCCAAAATTAATAGCACTTGGGTTATACATAGATTGCTGTAGTAGTATTTGCTAGGCTGAAACTGAAGGCCCTCTTGATCTTAGGCAGTCAAGATGGTAAAATTGCTCTTATTTCTCCAACTTTAATAGACCAGGATCATAATCTAGTTTCTTTGATTAGAATAGAGATAAGCATTATATTCTTACATGGAAAAAATGATCAAAGCATCACAAGATTGACTATGAACTAAATACCGTGTTTGTGTACTACTTTGAGAACAGCTTCTGAAATTTCTTGAGTGCCCTGAGTTTGCTTTGAAAAATCTAAAATTTCATGAGAATAAGAATTTGGAGGAAATTAAACACATGGTTTACATCTTTAGTATACACAAAGGAAAACATGACCAACTCTTCCTAAGTTCCATATGGTTAGAATGGACCATGTGACCTTAATTAGTTTAAGTCATGATGTTGTAAGCCAAGAATGTAAAAATTCTTTTCCATAGAAAATATCAGACCTTTGATTCTTCTGTCCCTTGATTGTAGCCCTCTGGTATACTTTCAACATTGCAGCAGGCACCCCACTCCTCAGTCCTAATTAGAAAGATTAAGAGCAAAGAGCTTCATATATAAGTATTACTTAATGTTACTATAGTTACTTAAGTCTAATGACTATACCACCACCTAGTGGTAAAGTAGCTCAATCTCCAAAGTGAAGCAAATACTTTATCCCAATATTTGCATTTATGCTCCCTTTATTTAAGTATGTGCTGTAATACTAGTATACCAAGCATATTATCTCCTATATTTTATACCTCCTATGAAGATACACTTAGGATGCTCCCTGCCTTCAGATGTTCACACCTCTGTGATTCCCCTCTCCTTGAATTTGCTTCTAACCAATAGACGGAATGCATGTGATTACATAAGAACGCAGTACCCATATTACTGGTCTCTCTCCCCTCTGCTGCCCTATAAGGAAGCAAGCAGCCGTATCCACCAATGTGTCAAGGTGATGACAGTTACCTCTGGCTAAATACTAGCAAAAAGATGGAAGCTCTCAGTCCAATAGCTGGAAGGAGTGAACACTGCCAAGAACCAAGTAAAGAAGATCTTTCCTCAAGCCAAAACTCTAGATAGGGGCTGGCACTGTGGTGTGGTGAGTAAAGCTGCCACCTGCAATGCTAGCATTCCATATAGGCGCTGGTTTGTGTTCTGGCTGCTCCACTCCCAATCCAGCTCTCTGATAATGGACTGGGAAAAGCAGTGGAAGATTGTTCAAGCGTTTGGACCTCTGCCATCTGCATGTGAGACCCAGATGAAGCTCCTGGCTTTGGCCTCGCCCAGTACTGGCCATTGTGACCATCTGGAAAGTCCATCAGTGGATGTAAGATTGCTCTCTCACTGTAACTCTTTCAAAAAAAATAAAATCTTAAAAAAAAAGTCCAGGGCCAGCCTTGTGGCACAGTGGGTTGAGCTGCTACCTGCAATGCTGGTATCACATATAGGCAACGGTTCAAGTCCTGGCTGCTCCACTTCCAATTTAGCTCCCTATTAATGTGCCTGGGAAAGCAGTGAAAAATAGTCCACATGCTAGGGCCCTAGCACCTATGTGGGAGACCTGGATGAAGTTCCTGGCTCCTGGCTTCAGGCTGGCCTAGCTTCAGTCATTTACAGCCACTTTGGGGAAGAGAACAGCAGATGAACATCTCTCCCTCTGTTTCTTCCTCTCTCCTTGTAACTCTGCCTTTCAAATAAATAAATCTTTTAAGAAAGTATTTGATTATTTTTTAAAGATTATTTATTTATTTGAAGCAGAGTTAAAGAGAGAGAGGGAGGGAGAGGCAGAAAGGTTTTCCATCTGCTGGTTCATTCCCCAAATGACCACAACAGCTGAAGCTAGGCTGATCTAAAGCCACGAGCTTCTTCTGGGTCTCCCCACATGAGTACAGGGGCCCAAGCACTTGGGCCATGTTCTACTGCTTTCCCATGCCATAAGCAGAGAGCTGGATCAAAAGAGGAGCAGTTGGGACTAGAACCGGTGTCCATATGGGATGCCAGCATGGAGAAAGAGGTTAGCCTACTACACCACAGTGCTAGCCCCAGTATTTAGTTATAAAAATAACTCCAGATAAGGACTTGTCCAACACCCTCATTATGGTCTTATGACAGCAAAAGCTATGTCATGCCCAGATTACAAACCCATATAAATTGTGAGTTAAATGTCAAGTTGTGGTAATATTGGTATGCAGCAGTAGACAATTAATACATCTTGTTTTCTTACTACTAGCTTCCTTAAGCCTGAAGTCTATAAGACAAACAATCAAGCAATGTTTGGGGCCGGCGCTGTGGCTCACTTGGTTAATCCTCCGCCTGTAGCACCGGCATCCCATATGGGCGCCAGTTTCTAGTCCCGGCTGCTCCTCTTCCAGTCCAGCTCTCTGATGTGGCCCGGGAGAGCAGTGGAGGATGGCCCCAGTGCTTGGGCCCCTGCACCCACATGGGAGACCAGGAAGAAGCACCTGGCTTCGGATCAGCACAGCGCCGGCCGTAGCGGCCATTTGGGGAGTGAACCAACAGAAGGAGGACCTTTCTCTCTGTCTCTCTCACTGTCTATAACTCTACCTGTCAAATAAATAAATTAAAACAAAATAAAGCAATGTTTACCCTGATACATGGTTGCTACTCCCTGTAGTCACAAATAACTTTTTAAAAACCCTCTTTTACAAAAAAAAATGCAAGCATTAAATATCCAAGAAATAGACCTATAGGGCAAAAATCAGAAGAGAACTTGACTAGCACCAAACCTATCTGAATTTCCAGACAGAACTGAGAAACAGGACAAGATATAAGACAATACCCCCTTTACTATCTCAAACCCAGTTTCTGATTAGATCTATTAAATATCATTTGCATCCACAGATACACACAATGTATAAATCCAGAGCATACAGAAGGCAACATTGAAAGCTCCTCAAACACTGTTAGCCTGAGATGTTCTACTAGCTAGGTGTGTATCTCAAGCAACCAATCTACCTGTTATCAGCAACAGAAAGATGGTGCTGATTGAGAATTGCTTCCCACCCCCGCCCTCTGAAGTATGGGTCCACATCAGGACACTTGGAGGTACTTGTCTAAAAATGCAGATTCCTGGTGTGGGCACTGCGGTACAAAGGTTAATTTACCACTTGTGACACTGGCACACCGTATCAGAGTGCCAGGTTGTGTTCCAGTTGCTCTGTTTCCTGGTGATGTGCCCGGGAAGGTAACAGATGATGGCTCAAGGGCTTGGGCCCCTGTCATGCATGCAGGAAGACAGGATGAAGTTCCTGGCTCCTGACTTTGGCCTGACCTAGATCCGGCTATTGCAGTCATTGGAGGAGTGAACCAGAAGGTTGGAAACTAATCAACTGATATCTGTGTGTGAGTGTGTGTTTCAAGTAAATATTTTTTTGTACAGGCTTTGTGTTTTTTTTAAAAAATATGCTTGGTTAAAAACATAAAAGTATGTTCCAAAAATATTTCAGATTTTTTAATTATTGGTAAGATGTTTTCAGCAGAAGGACATGAGTACTAAAAGCAGTATTTTTGAACAACCATCACTCCAACAGGTTTTTCCCCTCAGAAACACATGAGTATCTTTTTTAGTTATGATTTTTCCCTAAAAATCACATGCAAAGTAGAATGATTTCATAAAACATGTGTACAAAAGTTGTTTTTCCCTGTGAAAATGTTATAATAATGACCAAAGTTGTGCATTTTAAGAACTCTAAAGAATTATGACAGATTATGGGTCTTCAGACATACATATATTTATTCATTTAATTTTACTGAAGGTTTATGAGTAAAAAATTGACATTTTGAGATTTCATTATTCTTTATAGCCTTATCTATACTCATGAGGAACAGTGGTATTTCTACTTACTACTTGTTAAATTCTTTATTTAGTGGGAATTAAGCTTGTGATTATAACTGAAAGCAAAATAAAAACGTAAGGAGGACAGAGGGTGAAAGTGCAGGAGACTAGGAAGTATCATTATGCTCTTTAAAAAAATTTAAGTTATACAAATTTCATGTATTTCATATATACAGATTTAGGAACACAGTGATACTTCCCATCCAACCCCTCCCCCTTGCCCATTCTCCCAACTCTTCTTTCTCCATTATTACCACTCTTAATTTTTTACAAAGATCTACCTTGTTTACTTAATGATCATCAAGTTAACTCTACACTAAGTGTAAGAGTTCAACAAACAGTATGAAGAAAATAAACAGTTCTTCAACAGAATAGACAAGAACTGTAAACAATCATCAAATCTCAAAATGTCCATTTCACTCTAATACATTTTAGGTACTGTATTAGTTACCTTGGACCAGGGAAAACATATGGTACCTGTGTTTTTGGGACTGGCTTATTTCACTAATAATAATGGTTTACAGTTGTATCCATTTTATTGAAAAAGACAGGATTTCTTTCTATTTTTTTACAATTGAGTACTATCCTACAATGTATATATATCATAAATTCTTTATCCAGTCAAGAGTTGATGGACATCTGGGTTGATTCCAATCTTAGCTATTGTCAATTGTGTTGCAATGAACATGGGGGTATAGAGAACTTTTTTAAATATTTATTTGAAAGGGAGAGTTACACAAAGAGGCAGACAGAGAGGTCTTCCATCCACTGGTTCACTCCCCAACTGGCTACCAATGGCTGGAGCTGCGCCAATCTGAAGTCAGGAGCTAGGAGTCTCTTCTGGGTTTCCCACTTGGGTGCAGAGGCCCAAGGATTTGGGCCATCTTCCACTGCTTTCCCAGGCCGTAGCAGAGAATGGGATCAGAAGTGGAGCAACCAGGACTCAAACCGGTACCCATATGGGATGCCAGCGCTGCAGGCAGCAGCTTTACCTGCTATGCTACAGCGTTGGCCTCCAGATAACTCTCTATATGCTGTTTTCTTTTGGTTTGGGTAAATTCCCAGGAGATGGCTGGGTCACATGGTAGGTCTATATTCAGATTTCTGAGGTATCTTTTCCCCCATATCCTCACCAGCATTTGTTTTTTTTTTTTTTTAATTTCTGTATGAGAGACATTCTAATAGTGAGCTGAAAACTCCATGTGGTTTTGATTTGCATTTCCCTAATGGCTAATGATCCTGAGCATTTTTTTTCAAGTGTCTGTTGGCCATTTGAATTTCCTCTCTTGAAAAATGCCTCTTCAAGTCCTTCGCTCACTTCTTAACTGGATTGCTTGCTTTGTTGTTGTTGAATTTATCACTCTGTTCTTAAAACTGTATATATGGTGTAGTGGATCAAGCTGTCGCCTGCAGCACTGGCATCCCATATGGACACTGGGGCTCGAGTCCTGGCTGCTCCACTTCTGATCCAGCTTCCTGCTAATGCAGCTGGGAAAGCAGCGGACAATGGCCCAAGTGCTTGGGCCCTTGCGCCCAAGTAGGAGCCCTGGAGGAAGCTTCTGGCTTCAGCCTAGCTCAGCCCCAGCCATTGTGGCCATCTGGGGAGTGAACCAGGGGATGGAAGACCTGTTTCTCCATATCTTTCTCTCTCTCTGTAACTCTGCCTTTCAAATGAAAAAAATAAATCTTTAAAATGCTGCATATTTGAAATATGTGAAACTTCCTGTTATATAATTTTTAAAAAGACAAAAAATTATTTATTTATTTGAAAGGCAGACACACACACACACACTCAGAGACAGAGAGGGAGAGAGAGCTTCCATTTACTGTCTCATTACCCAAATAGCCTCAGCGTCTAGGTCTGGACCAGGTTGAATCCAGGAGTCAGGAAGTCCATCCTGGACTCCTACATGGGTATTGAGGACCCAAGTACCTGGGTTATCTTTCACTGCCTTTGCAGGCACATTAGTAGGAAGCCACATCAAAAGCAGAGCAGCTGGGACTTGAACCAATATTACAGTATGGGATGCCATGGTCACAAACAGCAGCTTGACCCAGTGTGGTACAATGTCAGCCCCATTGTGCCAACATCTTTTAATGTAAAAATAGTAACCTTTCAAAAATATTTTAATATGAATTATTCAGAGAGATGTGTCTATGGCTTTCCATCTCTTCTAGTCCATTGCTCTCAAAATGTAGTCTACTGATGACAGTAGCCTCAGAGCTGTAACCTACTAGTCTATGACAAGAAAGTGCTGACAGAGTGTTTATAAATTTTATAGCACCTTATTTGCATTATTTCTTACCTATAGAAAGTAATAATAATGCAAATTATCTTGTATTGTCACATCTTTATTTCTCTTATTTTTACTAATTGCTTTATATTGTATTCAATGAGTTTATCTCCAATATATTGGGGAAAAAATTTCAATGATCATGATCTTTAACCAAAAATGATTTTACAAGTAATGCTCTAAAAAATGAAGAAGTGGTTGTAGGCATAAATATGCTGACCAAAGCTGCCTATAAATGTTGCAGAATAATTGAAGAACCTCACCCAAGAGAAGAACTAGATATGGCAAAATGTAAGTGATCATTGTAACATCACAGTGAAGAGTGCAAGAAGACAAGAAAACCATGCAAGGATTAGTGTATGATATGGAAATGCAGAGTCTGCTTCAAGATTATACTGGAATACAAAGATTAGAAATAAGATTTGAGATCTGATTCACAAAAAATAATCTATGCCTGGACCCATTTTCTTAAGATACACAACCAAGCCATTAAGTGAACCAAATAATCCAAAAGGGCTTACAGTAGAATATAATGAATTTTGTAAATAAATACTTTAAAAAATAGATTCATGCTCTCATCCTGACCTCATATTTTGTGAAAGTAGGCCCAGGAATTTGCCTTTCTAAGAAGCATTCTGAGCAATTTGTATTCAATTAAAGTTTGAGAATCATGGGATTAGATTGACAGAATGGGAGAAAATATTTGCAAGCTACTTATCCAATAAAGGATGCATATCCAGGATGTATCAGCAACAAAAAAACCACCACTCCAGTTATGGAATGGACAAAGGGTCTGAATACAGTTCTCAAAAGAAGAAATACAAACGGCCAACAAATATATGAAGAAGTGCTCAATATCCCTAGCTATCAGGAAAATGCAAATCAAAATCATAATGAGATATCACTTCACCCCTGTCTGATGGCTATTATACAAAAGACAGCAACAAATGCTGGCAAGGACATGGAAAAAAGGGAACTAATTTTTACACTGTTGGTGGGAATGTAAATTAGTGCAGTTATTAGCCTAGTTATTATCTATTTAAAATAGATGTTCCAAAGATCCAGGAATCCCACTACTGGGTATATACACAAAAGACATGAACACATTGTATCAAAAAGGTATGTGCACATTTATAACAGCACTGTTCACAACAGCCAAACTATGGAATCAGCCAAGGTGTCCATCATCAAATGCATTGATAATGTGTGTTTTGAGTGTGTACACATATACATGTATATGTATGTATGTACATATAATCTAAGTCATAAACTTACACACACACAGTGGAATATAATCCAGCTATTAAAAAGAATGAAATTCTATCATTTGCAGCAAAATGTTTAGAATTGGAAGACATCATATTGAGTGAAATAAGCCAGACCCCAAAAGACAAATACTGCATCATCTCCCTTATACGTGGGAGCTAAAATTAAAAAAAAAAAGATGAAATGTCCAAGTGCATCAGCATTACTACAAACAGTGTTTTGTCAAACTTGCTTTTCAGTATTTGTCAAATTGATACAAATTATATACTACTATAGTTTTAATGATTTTGTAACTATTTTAAAATTTACTTTGAGTGAAGTTGAACATCTTGTTCTCTGACAATGTATAGCTCTTGACTTTTGCTGTTGCACTATGGTCTTTTTATTTGTTGAATTTTTTATTTAGTGGAGCCAATATGCTTTTAACTATAAAGTAAATTTAAAATGTTATCTCAAAATATATTTTAAAATTAAAAAAATGGATTGTGACTTGAACAGAATCCCTGAAGTATGAGCACCTCACAATATAACAAATTTTGGGGGGAAGGGTGAGCATTGTGGCACAGCAAGTTAAGCCACCTCTTGTGGTATCTGCATCCCATATAGGAGTGCCAGTTGGAGTCCCAGCTACCCCCTTACAATTCAGCTTTCTGCTAATGCAGCTGAGAAGGCAACTGATGATGGACTAAGTACTTGAATCCCTACCATCATCAAGAGACACCTGGCTCCTAGCTTAGTCCTTGCCCCGCCTTGGTTATCACCGACATTCGGGGAGTTATGCCAGCAGATGGAGGATCTCTGTTTTCCCCTCTCTCTGTCACTCTGCCTTTCAAGTAAATATATAAAATCTTTAAAAAACATTTTTTGGTAAATTTTCTCTTCCTTATTTAAAAATATGTATCTCTACCACACATGTATGTCAGTTAAGTCATAAACTTGCCAGGCCCCTTCCACTTTCAAATGATGCACAGAAACATAATTGTCATGTAGTTGTCATCCCCTTTCCCTTTATTACCTATCCGGAGTTGAATTCTTGTAATCGATATGGGCATCATCAGTTGCAGTCAGAGCATTATTTCTGTTCTTCCTGGAATTACTTCGAAACAATTCAACTGCAGTTTTCAAAACTTGTTCATCCACAACAAACACATCTTTATAGAGGATTTCATACAATACAGCTGAAGGAAAAAAAAATGGCCAAAAGTTCAATTGTCAAAACAAGATGTTTTTCATTTCAATGTGAAAAAAGCCAAAGCCCAACACGCAAATTTAATGAGCACCCACAAGGTTTTAAAGGGGGTTCTTTATGGTCGGTACTTCAATTTAAAGACTGGCAACATATCATCTGAAATTACATCCAAATATTAATAAAGATTTCACATACCCTGACAAACAGCTGCACTTGACTGAAACTGTTTTGAATATACAGAATCATAATGACCACTACTGGAAGAGCACAGCAAAATCTGATGAAAAAGAGTAATTAAATGTTATTCCATGCAACTAAACTGATAATTAACTTGAAATTAGTAATTGATTAAATGAAGTTTTAAGATATGATTTTTTAAAACTAAATACAAATAAATAAGCTATGCTCAAAGACATTTCTTGACAGTGACTTTTAAATAACAAGATTAAAATTATTACTGAAGTTATAGTATGCACCTCCATCATATTCTTTTTTTTTTTTTTTTTGACAGGCAGAGTGGACAGTGAGAGAGACAGAGAGAAAGGTCTTCCTTTTGCCATTGGTTCACCCTCCAATGGCCGCTGCGGCCGGCGCACCGCGCTGATCCGATGGCAGGAGCCAGGTACTTATCCTGGTCTCCCATGGGGTGCAGGGCCCAAGGACTTGGGCCATCCTCCACTGCACTCCCTGGCCACAGCAGAGAGCTGGCCTGGAAGAGGGGCAACCGGGACAGAATCTGGCGCCCCGACCGGGACTAGAACCCGGTGTGCCAGCGCCGCAAGGCGGAGGATTAGCCTAGTGAGCCGCGGCGCCGGCCCATCATATTCTTTTAATACACTAAATAAGTCTTGATGTACAAATCTGCATTAAGATGGGATTTTGTTTTTATAACCTTAGTTACTGAACATAACAGAAATCAAAAAAAAACCAAATTAATTTCCAACAATGACTGGAGAGATTAAATAAAATTTCAAAGTCAGACTAAGGAGAGCAAATTCATGCAATTTATTCAAAAGGTTATCCACTCTACTAAATAGCAATATATCAATATATTACATAGGAACAAGACTGCTAAAAAGGCTTTCTTAATGAATTAAGGCTACAAAAACAAGAGGTTAACATTTTAGCTGATTCCTTCACGCCATAGTTTTTTCAAAACAATCCAAAGGTCATGCTTGCTAACCCAAATTTTTCAACAAAAATGTTCCATTTGATTAAATGTGTTTACATAACTATTCCCTAATATTTATGAAGTTTTGTTTTAAAAAATTGTCTTGTTTAAGTGATATAATCCCTAGGGATTAAGAAAGTGCTCTCTGGTATCAGAAACCTGAGATACTGAAGGCAAGTTAGGGCTCTAAGGGAAGGATGTTGCCACCAAGCTTCCTTAGCAGAAAATTATCCTAAGTACTCTTTTTTCTACTTTCCTATACCACCCTGGACTAACCCAATGATCTTCTGATTCCACATCTATTTTTGTTCCCTAGTCATGTTTTGAAATCACAATTCTAACTCTGTCAGTATAATCCATTTCAAAGTACTGAGGGCAAGTGTCAAGCTAAGGTAACTCACAGTAAAGTTTATGTTATGAATAAGTTTTACTTACTAGAAGTAGTATATACATTTAAGAGAAGTTTATTAACTCAATAGTGAGCAGATTTTAAGCAGAGTAGCCCTTTGTACTTTGAGCTGAAAACTCCAACTAAAAAAGGTTAATAACCAGAGGCAATTGTTAAGGAGTAAAGGAGCACAGCTAACCAGAATTGATGAATAAACAAACAGTTCTTGGAGAAAGAAAAGAGACGATTGCACAATTTCTCTATTCAACTGGCAAGAAGTTCCATTTTCAATGGAAGAAGCAGTATGTTCCTGGGGGTATCTCAATCTAAATAGTAATTCTCTCATATATACTTGTAGGTGGTGTGTTAGTTGAAGGGGTGTAGGCAGGTGGGATGTAATGGCTATAAAGTAGTGAAAATGAGATCTACATGAGAAAGATAACTAAAAGGAACAAGTAAATAAAATGTTAAGTATGATACTATCTATGTTTTTAAAAAAATACATACACAAATACAAAGAGAATGATACAGAAGGCTCACCCTCAATACTTACTTATTACCTGGCAATGCACAAGACTGAAGAAAATGAATGGAGATTTTACTTTTCACTCTACAATGTAAGATTTAAGTTTTATTTTGTATTTAAAATAAGTATTATTTTTGTTCTTTCTAGATAGAGCAAATGATCTGAGTACAGATGGCTAACTTTCAGTAGAATTCACTTTGATACTGAATACATTTAGGAAGTTGAGGATAAATAGATAGACTGCAGAGTTAAGTCGATAGAGAAGGTTACAAGTACCAAGGTGAACATGAGCATTTATTTCTTTGGAAGTTTTCTCTTAAACATGTTAGAAGATTGATTAATGTTTACTACCTTTAATAAAGTCACTCTTGAAATCTCAATTCAAATATCAATATTAGCAGTCTGGAGATACAACAACAAAGTTTTAGACAAAGTGAAGTGTCACACAATAAAAGCACCTGGCTTTTGCATAAATTTCAATATGAACATACTTGCACTATAAATGATGTGTTCTGATTGTACACACTCAAGAGGCCTGACATCTTGTATTCCTATGGATCACTGCATCCATGTGGGAGACCCAGAGGAAGATCCTGGCTTTGGACCAGCCCTGCTCAGGCCATTGTGACCATATGCACAGTGAACCAGCAGATGGAAGAGCTCTCTGTCTGTCTCTCTAACTCTGCCTTTCAAATAAATAAATAAATCTTTAGAAAAAAACAATACAGGGACCTAGATCAGAAGCAGAGCAGTCAGGACTCAAACATGAGGTGTCAGCATCAACAAGCAGTGGCTTATCCCACTGTGCCACAACACTGGCCCCTTTTATGCTCTTAGCACATACTTTTATGATAAAATTTATCACTTCACTGTAATTATCTATTTCCACGTCAATCTTTATAGTCCCTTAAGTCTTTGGAGGACAAGGATTTTACCGTTTCATTTTGGTCTCCCAAAAAGCCCCCCAAAAAATGTTTGTTATACTATAGGGGCTCAATGTCTGCTGAACAAATTAAATGGTGGCCATTGGTTAAAAAAATGTCTCAATTTATACTTTTCTTTTAAATTGTCTGTTATTTGGTCTTTACTAAACCACTTCCCCGCTTCAGACCGCTTTAGGTCTTTTGCCTAAATTACTGTAATGGCCTCCTAACAATTCTCCTAGTGTCAAGTCTTATTTTATCATCATTAAAACTGTTGCCTGTATTGTGCTCCATGGTGTGAAAAAAAGGCTTGTAAAACTAAAACTAGATAGTCCTACATTCACTAATCAAATGAAGATAAAAGCCTTTTCTTAAAAATTTTTTGCAAGTAAAAAACAAACTTTTTATAAGTTATATGCTAGAAAACAATTTAGTTATCTGCTGAGTGGCCACAACCAAAAGAACCTATTTTTTCTCCAAGCACATTATTAGGCAGAACATTGTCCCTGCCCTCAAGAAACTTTCAGACTAATGGGAAAAATAAATAGACATAAAAATAGATACCAGAAAGTTGCTCTAGGAAGCTGCTAAAGAGGCACAAAGAGCAGATCTGCCTCCAGGGGCCAGAGGCATGGGCAAAGTCTCAGAAGAAGGGATATTTGAAGTACAAAGGGACTGAAAGCCTGAAAGCCCTAGCATATGGTAGCATGTTACACACAGGAAGACAATGAAGCAAGCAAGGAAAGGTTTGAGACCACCTTAGCTTCAGGGCTTGAATCTCATCCTCTAGTCAAAGAGTAAGCAATAAACAGCATCATTCAACTTCTTTTTAATCAACATTCAATTATCTTCTTACCTTGTCTTCATAGCCATTATCTGTGACATAAGTTGGAGGTTTTCCAGGATAACGATAAAGAATGAAATCTCGACTATCATTAAAAAACAAAGGGGAAAAGATAATTTGGTATATAGAAGAGATAGTTTATTTGAAAAGCAAATGTTGACAATTTTTTTTTTTGTAAAAGGTCAGATAACAGCCACAGACAATGCATAAGTGAATAAGCATGACTATGTTCCAGTAAAATTTACTTAATTTAAGAGTTAGGTGCTGTAAACTCTTTTCTGACTCTGTTAAATTAAACTAAATTATGGGGTGATTTCAAGTGCTAAATCTTACATTTAAGGTTTTTATTTCTGATTTATGTGATAACCAAAGAGTCACAGATTTTGTGTTCTATTGAAGTAATCTATTGTGTTCTCTACTGTCTCTTAAGTTCTAAACGCTAGAAAGCATTGTCTTAAATATGTACTTATTTAAAAATATTTGGTCACTTTATGATTAAATCTGTTCTAAAACTGGTAAATTCACCGTGACTACATGGATGATATTATTTCACAATGTTAAGGAATTCCATTTTGACCAGATACTTTAAAATCTCTTCCCCCAAGGCCAGTGCTGTGGTGCAGCGGGTTAACGCCCTGGCCTGAAGCGCCAGTATCCCATATGGGCAATGGTTCAAGTCCTGGCTGCTCCACTTCTGATCCAGCTCTCTGCTATGGCCTGGGAAACCAGCAGAAGATGGCTCAAGTCCTTGGGCCCCTGCACCCACGTGGGAGACACAGAAGTTCCTGGCTCCTGGCTTTGGATCAGCACAGCTCTGGCCATTGTGGACAATTGGGGAATGAACCACTGAATGGAAGACCTTTTTCTCTCTCTCTCTGCCTCTCCTCTCTCTGTGTAACTGACTTCCAAATAAATAAATCTTTAAAAAAAATCTCTTGGCCCTTTAACATACTTTCTGAAAATCAAGGTTATGAATTCTTTGGGCTTTGATATTTTCAGATGAGCCCCTGGAAATGTCAAAGATATATCTCTCATCTTGTAGAGAAAACAATCAATTAGGCTATTTGGATTATATTAAACACTGCCAAGATGTGAAATGATGCTAAACTTCAGTTATAAGCACTTTTTTTTCCCAGCTGCTCCAGTCTCTGGCTTGCAGGCCAGATTCAACTTCTTTAAGTCGGGCTACAGAGTAAGTACCAGTAAAATCTGAAGGCTCAGGAAATTAGGCTAAGCAACCAGGGAGGCCAGATTTTTTCCTCTTTTCTCTTCCAGCCTCTCCACTCCGATGTATGGTTTGATTCCCAGACCTTATAAAAGGGATGACTGACCTTTTCTGTAATAATACCTAGCCATAATACAGAGGACAAAATAGCATAGCCAGAAAATGAAAGATTAAATTATGCTATGATTTTACAGCTAGATTTATTTTTCTGTGTGCATGGCCAATGGGCAGAACTCCCCTTTTAAATCAAATTGAAGGGGCGATAGGAAGTTTTTCTGATGACCTCAAAATATATAAACAAGTCACCACATTTGATATCACCTAAAAGGTGATAGTTCTCCTCATGGGCACTGATTTAACGCATAGCAAAATACTAAGTACCAGAATTTTCCCATTACCATAGGTTTCTAGCTCACCCTGTCAATGTTAAAAGAAATCTTCAAAAATTAGGGATGGGACTGAACACCCTATTGAATGATATCATAAAGGATGCCAATTTGGTCTACTTTTATAGAAGAGACCTGGAGAAAGAGGAGAGAGCTAAGCAGAAGAAGCAATGTAAGGATAGGTGGCAGGCCAAGTAAGGCTGCTTTATGCAGTGATCTGCCATCAAGAAGACCCAACAAGGCCAGTCCAACCTCAAATGGCACCTGTTTCAATATGAAGAACTAGAGCATTAGGCAAGCAGCTGTTGTGATAGAAACAGAGCCCTGTCAGCTCTGCCAAGAAGCAGGCCACTGGAAATGAAACTGTCCTGGGGGGTCGAAGGACTCCTGGGTCAGAGCCACAGACCCTGTTGGCCCCAAGCTAAAAGACCCTTCATTCTGTCCAGCTTCAAATTCTAACCACTGCTACTGTGGTGATGGCCTAGGGTCAGTGACATTGCAGGAAAAACCGTGAATTTCCATTTAGAGACACGACCTGTTCTGTACTAGCTTCCTGTTCAGACTAGCTCTCTTCTTAGTCCAGCCTCATAAAGGAGTCAACAACATTCCTTCCTTAAGGAGTTTCATACCTCCTTTGTAATGTCTCTTCAAGTACCCCATGGATAGGTCTGGGCCTCACACGTACCTGGCCAGGTCAGGCCTTAAAGTCTATCCAAATATTAAGCCCAAAAAGCCCCTCCTGTTAATTTCTATTTGCCTTTAAATGAGTTAAAAACCTACACCACCCATCTCCACTATCAAAGAGACTATCTATAGGATTCTCCAACCAAAAACTACACCAAACTAACATTGCTTAGACCTCTTCATTTTACATATCAGTATATCAGACCTTAAGTTTTCCCAATCCAAAACGGACTTTAATAGGAAACTTACATTCATGGGCTCATGGCTGCATGCACCCACATTCACATATCTCTTAAAGGGAATACAACTTACTTGTAAATTAGAGAAAGAGCTTTTATTTCCAGCTGGCCAGCACTTTCCTAAAGATAAATAGTACACAGTTTTTAAAACCATTCTGTAGTTAGGAGGTAGAAGATTTGCAAATTCAGCATTTTTTTTTTTTTTAGTTGCTTAGCACTGTTTTAGATAAAGAACTTGTAGAACACACTTTAACTTGTTTTGAGGCTTGGAATACTGTGATAGTTACTCATTAACATAAACTTATCCTGGAAAAAACTACCTAACTAAGCCCTTCTTAGTTAGCCATTAAGTAATAATAGCCTTTCAAATGGGAGCTTTAAAAGGCACAATGAAAATGCAACTTAAGAATACAAAGGTAGCAGGATATATTCTGTCTATGTGTTATAAGCCTAGAACTATGGAATTAATTGCATTACATAAAAATTATGTCTATGTGAAGTGCATAAAAGGAGGATAACTACAAATCAGGGGAATTAGTTAAATAACAATACAAAAATAACATTCATCACCACCCTCCTCCCCCATTAAAGTGAAAAGCCTTAAGTTTGTCCTTTTCTCAAGCAGTGTGTACTCTGCCTAGCCTATGGATCAGACTGTTAACAATTGTCAATATTCAACACAAAACAAGATCCACTGCCAGTCTCTAAACTTTTCCAAAAATTAGTTGACTCAACACAGCTGGCTACTTAAGTATTTTGGGCCTGGATAAAGCAACACAGATTTAGGCTACTATTCCAAATAACTCTGAAAAGATTAAACCCCCATATTTGATCTTACCTTGGGATCTCCCAACCGTTCCAGGTATTTCTCAAAAGATCCCTCCACATACTTCAAAAATAAAACAAACTTGACTTAACCAAATACATAGCATTACTGAAATCTGATTATATTTTGCAATATTATGTTCCAATGGGTTTTGTGGTTAGCTCAACAATTATAGTATTAAATTACTATTTTGCACAGCACCTCAAGAAGATTTGTACATACACAACAGTTATGAGTGGAGAAACACTATCCTATCAAAGTATCTTAGGAGTTGCTCTTAGCTTATCCACATACCAGTGCATTTCATCAAATGGTATGCCTCTGAGCTTCTTTTGAAATGCCAGCTTAAAATAATTTGATGATTTTCATGAATCAAATAAGACTGATAATTATAAGGACTTCAAATTCGGCAGGAGACATGCATTTACAAAGTTAAACTGAGGAACTTTAAAGAGAACCTGAATCATTCATTTCAAAAAAAGCTCAGGCACAAGAGAACTTTTATGGGCGATGGAAACATTCTGTATCTTGACTGTGATGGCAGTTGCATGATTCTGTGTCACTGCAACACTAAAAATGCTAAACTTAAAATGATGAATTTTATTGAATGTAAAATGTACTAAATAAAACTAAAATCAAATTAAATTCAGGAAACATAAGATTTCTAGTTTGATGCCCACATATCATTAGTCTTAAATCAATTTTTAAGTTTTCCTCATTTATTTTCAAGAGTTTTGAGGGATAATTAACATACAATACACTGTTCAATTTAAATAGTACAAATTACAAATGCATCCATGAAACCATCCATACAATTGAGATCGTGAATTATCTATCACCCCTATAAGTTTCCTTGTGCCCATTTATAACTAATATATAGCCACTGATCTACTCTCTGTCACTACAGATTGGCTTATATTGTTCTAGTTTTAAATAAAGGAAATCACACAGAATAAACTTTGGGGAAGGAGGGAGTGCCTGGCTTCTCACATTCAGTGTAATTATTTTGAGATTCATCCATGTAGTTTTAAGATTTTACACACATCTTTGTTATTCAAAATGTAGTCCATGAACCAACAGCAAGCATCACTTGGGAGTTTGTTAAATGCAGAAATCTCAGATTCCAGTTCAGACCTACTGAATCAGAACTGTAGTTTAACAAGATCCCCAGGTGATTTGTATGCACAAAAATACTTGAGATGCACTGCTTTACACCACAGTCTTGCATTTGAAGTAATGTCACTAATAATCCTTTCCCCAGGTGTGAAGAGGACTACAATCAAGCTTCAAGGTAATAAGCTTACAAGTCAAGAAGCCATCACATAGTTTACTGAAACCTGTTGAGAAAATTAAGAGTAAACCTCGAACAGCGGGAAGGCAAATACCCTCAACATAGTCAGAAGAAATCAAATAGTAATGGAAGGGCTAGAAGGGTCAAAAAAATAAACAGCCATACAAAAAGGCACACTTCAAATTAGACCTTGAAAGTTGTTTTACTTAAAATCAATCATTAGTGGCAGAATTCCAATACTACAATTTGTCAAATGTAAGGACTAGGAGTTTGAGTAATTTGTTAGCTTACAATTAAGTTTTATAAAATTCCTTCTAACGATTGTGTACAGGAGTAAGCAAAAGAACAGAAGTAGATTCCCATTTGTACACATTTTAAAATACACATTTTAAAATATTAACAGCAAAACCTCTCACAAACTAGTTAACTGTTCAAGAAAACAGTAGTATGGATAATACAAATCAGCAGTCAAAACGTCACTTTTTTGGGTTTGGGTTTTTGTTGTTCGGGGATAACGGGAAAGACAAATAAATTCTTTCTTAAATTTTTTAGACTACAACACAACTTAATTCTGAAAGAAGGCCCAAGCACGTTAGCTAGTGGCAAGGAATTCAGCTGAGAATTAAATATTTGCTGCTAAGAGAAGAGATTGCATGACATAATCTAATTTTCACATGTAGGTGCTCAAAATTCTTTCTCCTACCTGCTACATACTCTATACCAACAACTCTCCCCTGGGTATGTATTCTACTTACAGATTCAAAAGCTTGTTGATTTTCCTTCATATATGAGACACAAGCCTTCCTGATTTCCAAATGATGGACCTGGCTGCAAAACAACTAAAAAGAAGAAAAAGATCAGCTCACTGTCAGCAGTCATTTGAAACAGAGGCTTCTAAATTTAAGACTATGAACTGGACACTAGGCTTCCTTTATTCAGAACATATGAAGGGAACTGGCAAATTACAGTCCTCTTATTAAAATGTTTATCAACTTTAGTGAGATTGAGAAGAGATGATTCTGTTAAGCCCCCCACCTCTCCTCCCTTCTACTTCTTACTTGCACAGCCTGTAGTTTTTCTTGGGCATAAAATTTAGAGGAAGGAGGGGATACTTACAAAGGATCAAGATACATTTCGAAGTTTTCTTTAACCCCACTATCTTATCATTCCTGCAAACTGGCATTTAGAAAACGGAAAAAATAGCAAAGATACAGCAATATTTGAATTAGCACACACCAAGCTAATAAGGTGCAGAGAGGCTCTTTCCAGGACCTAATCTAATCTCATGGTAGGCTACATGTTTAGCTACAGGACCATGCCATATCTCAAACTGCTAACATTCAATTTAAGGAAGACAGATATGTTTTTCTTTTACCTGCTCCGAAATAGCCCGAAAGAGACAAGAGGCATCCTTGGCAGTCAGCTTTCGAAACAGCCCTAAGCTGCCTAAATATTCATCCATTGATGTCTCACTCAGAGACTTCTGGCCGCAGTACTTTTTCCATCCTTTATTCATTGTGCAGGGTCGTAGCAGGGCAGAAGAAGGAACAAAGTGTGGCAAAAAGAAAAAAAGCAGGATGCAGGGAGGAATGAGTAGGAGTGACAAGGGCCGTTTATGCAGATATCTGGAAAACAGCCCCAGGTCTAGGCAGGAGAAGGCAGTTGGAGTCAGCACTGCAGAACCTCGGCACTTCGCAGGAGCAGAAGCAAAGAACTGGCTTGCCCAGGATAGGTCGGGACCCTGTGAAAAGAAGAGGAAGAGCCAATGCTCCTAGGAATGGGGAACTTGAGAAGGAGACAAGGGAGGGAGGGACATGGCGCTCACAGAGCTACCTCATTGGGGAAGGGAGGGATTAACCCAATCAGCCCAAGGTTGAGAAAAGTATGCATAAGCAGCTGAGCTTTGGGACCAGAAGTATGCAGCTTAACTCAGGGCAACTGTTGCACGAGGCTGCAAAGGGGACTATGATAAGGCTCAGGTGTGTAGAATACAGCCTGGTCCACATCACACTGCCTTAAGATCTCTGCCTGAATTTTCACCTACAGTCTCTACCCAAGTTCCTTGCTTGCTTCATAGTTGCAGGAATGCCTAAACTTAATTAACTACTAAGTTTTACATTAAGAGTATCTTTTTTTATAAGCAAAGGAGGCAGGGAGCTCCCTTGATCTGTAGGGGTAGAGGTCACAGTTCAAGCAAACTAAAAAACCAAAGCGATTATCTGGGGATATTTCAGGTATGGGGCTGAAATAATCTCATTTAGTTCTAAGATAGTAGTAACTGCTAGAATCACAAAAACTAAGCCTATTAGCTGTGCTAAGAAACCTTGATATGATTTTTGACTAATGTTGCCAAAGTACTATATGACACTAATAACAAGGGACAATGCAAAAAGAAATATTTCTTAAAAATGGAAAACATAAGCATTTTAAATGAAAGCAGCATATGCAACATATCTTACCCACAAATGTTCTAGTAGACTACATGTAAAATGTTGTGGCACTATATAAGAGGGGTTGGACACAATGTATTATTAGAGTACTATTCCAGAAAAACTGCCCTGGATTTCGAGAAAATCAAAGTAAAATATTAAGGGGAAAAGACAGGACCAATCATTTGTATTGCTTGATTTCACTATCAAGTGTCTTATTTTAATTTAAAAGTCGAAATCCAATTCCTTTCCTACTTTTTAAAATAATTTAAATAGGTCAAAAGCTGGCTTTGGAGAAGTGCCACGGTAAGCTGGTTTTAAAATTGTTTTTCTTATATTTGTGCTTCCAGTAGTAAACCTGATTACTCCCTATAGAAAAAGCATCAACTACTACTTGTATAACTAAATAAAAGCATGGTTTTAAAAAGGAATAAAATATTGACTTCCCTTAGCATGACAATCTGGAATTACTTTTTTTTAAAGAAACTATAATATTGGGTAAGTGATTTTTTTTGCAAAAGTTCTGAACCATACTGTTTGGAAAACAAGGATTACCTCATTTCTTTAAGGCCACTAATTCACTGGAAAAAAAAAGTAATTAAGGGCTGTAATTTAAAAGTTAATACATTTGACATATTTTGCTTATAGGAAAAACCTGAATTCTTCATATCTATTGCCTTTTAAACTAAAAACAAGGTATATAAATTTTTTTAAAGATTTATTTATTTGCAAGTCAGAGTTACACAGAGAGAGAAGGAGAGGCAGAGAGAAGTCTTCCATCCGCTGGTTCACTCCCCAATTGACTGATATGGCTGGAGCTTTGCTGATCCAAAGCCAGGAACCAGGAGCTTTCTCCGGGTCTCCCACGCCGGTGCAGGGGCCCAAGGACTCGGGCCATCTTCTACTGCTTTCCCAGGCCATAGCAGAGAGCTGGATAGGAAGTGGAGCAGCTGGGACTCAAACCCACATCCATATGGGATGCCAGCATTGCAGGTGGCGGATTTATCCGCTATGACACAGCGTCGGTATATAAAATAAGGTATATAAAATTTTAATTGATGCAATCTACAAACATGATTTCGAGAAGGCAACAGAGGAAGGGAAATCAGGAGAATCAAAAAACAGAAGAAAACTGGAACTAAAGTGATGAAAAATCAGAGACAGGAAGATAAAAAGAAACAAACAAAAAGTAACACAAGGGGTAGGCGCTGTGCCCCAGCAGGTTAAGCTGCTGCATGCAGTGCCAGCATCCCATATACACACCAGTTAGAGACCTGGCTGTTCCACTTCCCATCCAGCTCTGCTATGGCATGGGAAAGCAGTAAAAGATGGCCAAAGTCCTTGGGCCTCTGCACCCATGTGGGAGACCCAGAAGAAGCTCCTGACTCCTGGCTTCGGATCAGCACAGCTCCGGCCGTTGCAGCCAACTGGGTAGTGAACCAGTGGATAGAAGACCTATTTCTCTGCCTCTCCTTCTCTCTGTGTAACTGTGACTTCAAATAAATAAATAAATCTTTTTTAAAAAAAGTAACACACAAGGTAAACACACAAAAGGAGACTCACAATAAGATGGTAAACTAATTTTTGACAAAGGTACAAGAGCAGTTCAACAGAAAAAATACAGTACTTTCATCAAATGCTATCAAAACAACTGATAATCCATATGCAAAAAATCAACCTATACCTCACAGCTTCTACGATAGAACCATCAACCTATATCTCATAGCTTATAATACACCCAAAAATATCATAGATTTAAATGTAAAAAAGGAGGCTCACTCTGGTGCAGTGGATTAAACAGCCGATTGTGATAGCTGCCATCGCATATCAGTGTCCCAGTTCCAGTCCCAACTGTTCTTTTTCCTCATAAAGCTCCCTACTAATGTACCTGGGAAGGTGGCAGAAAATGACCCAAATACTTGGGACCCTGCCACCCATGTAGGGAGACCCAGACTGAGTTTAGGGCTCCTGGTTTTGGTGTGGCTCAGCCCTGACTGTTGTGGCCATTGGAGAGTGAACCACCAGATATGTGTCCTGGTTGTTCATCTCCCCTACCCGTAAAATGTCCTCACTCTGCTTTTCAAATAAATAAATAAATGGATAAATGTAAAATAAAACCTCAAAGTTTTTAGATGAAAACACAGAAAATGTTCAAGATCTTGGGTTAGATAAAAAGGTCTTAGATATAGCATGAGAAAAAAAAAAATCGATTAACTGGACTTTACCAAAACTAAAAAAATTTACCACTGGGGGGAGTATGGATTGGATAACTTAAAATAAATGGATAATTCTTAGACATAACCTACTGAAACTAAACTATTATTAGAAAATCTTATTAAGCTAATGTTTAAGATCAAATTAGTAATAAACTCTCCCATCAAAGGAAAGTCCACGATCTGACAACTTCACTGCTGAATTCTACCAAATAGTCAAAGAACTGATACCAATTCTCAAACTCTTTCAGGAAAATGGAAGAAGAGAGAATATTTTGTAACTCATTTTATGAGGCCAGTATTACCCTAATAACACGCTGGACAAGGACACTACCACTACAAAAAAACAAACTACAGGTCATCTGTATTCTGATGTATACAGATGCAAAAATTCTCAACAAAATCATAGCACATAGAATTCAACAAAACATTAGAAGAATCATTCACAGGGGCCTGCCTTGTGGCTTAGCACATAAAGATGCTGTCTGCAATCCTATATGGATGCTGGTTCAAGTCCCAGCTGTTCCAGCTGTTTTTTTTTTTCCAAAGTTAAAAGCACATCAAACACGCCGATCCAGCTCCCTGCTAATGTGCCTGGGAAAGCAGCATAGGATGGCCCAAGTACTTGGGCCCTTACACTTATGTGGGAGACCCAGAAGAAGCTCCTGGCTTTAGACCAGCCCAGCTCCGGCTGTTGTGGCCATTTGAGAAGTAACTGGCAGACAGAAGAGCTTTCTCTCCCTGTCTCTCTCTGTAATTCTGCCTTTCCAATAAATAATCTTGCAGATGATATGATTCTTTATTAAGGGATCCAAAGAATTCTACTAAGAGGCCGGCGCCGCGGCTCACTAGGCTAATCCTCCGCCTAGCGGCGCCGGCACACCGGGTTCTAGTCCCGGTTGGGGCGCTGGATTCTGTCCCAGTTGCCCCTCTTCCAGGCCAGCTCTCTGCTGTGGCCAGGGAGTGCAGTGGAGGATGGCCCAGGTGCTTGGGCCCTGCACCCCATGGGAGACCAGGAAAAGCACCTGGCTCCTGGCATCGGATCAGCGCAGTGCGGCGGCCATTGCAGGGTGAACCAACGGCAAAGGAAGACCTTTCTCTCTGTCTCTCTCTCTCTCACTGTCCACTCTGCCTGTCAAAAAATAAATAAATAAATAAATAAATAAAAAAGAAATGCCTTTCTTTCAAAAAAAAAATTCTACTAAGAGACTACTGGAAATCAAAGAAGAGTTTGGCAAAGTAGCAGGATATAAAATCAGTGCACAAAAATCAACAGCCTTTGCATACACAGGCAATGCCATGGCTGAGAAAGAACTTCTAAGATCAATCCCATTCACAATAGCTACAAAAACAATCAAATACCTTCAAATAAATTTAACCAAGGACATTAAAGATCTCTATGATCTGAATTACAAAACCTTAAATAAAGAAATACAAGAGGATACCAAAAAAATGGAAAAATCTTCCATGCTCATGGATTGGAAGAAATCAATATCATCAAAATGTCCATTCTCCTAAAAGGAATTTATAGATTCAATGTGATACCAATCAAAATACCAAAGACATTCCTCTCAGATCTGGAAAAAAACGATTCTGAAATTCATATGGAGGCACAGGAGACGGAGAGCTCGAATAGCTAAAGCAATCTTGTACAACAAAAACCAAGCCAGAGGCATCACAATACCAGATTTCAAGACATACTACAGGGCAGTTATAATCAAAACAGCATGGTATTGGTACAGAAACAGATGGATAGACCAATGGAACAGAATAGAAACACCAGAAATCAATCCAAACATTTACAGCCTACTTACCCGACACCATCAAATCATTAGAGAACATCAGAGAAACCCTGCAAGATATAAGCACAGGCAAAGATTTCCTGGAAAAGACCCTAAAGGCACAGGCAGTCAAAGCCAGAATTAACAATTGTGATTACATCAAATTGAAAAGTTCCTGTATTGCAAAATAAATAGGAAAGGGAAGAGGCAACCGACAGAATGGGAAAAATATTTGCAAATTATGTAATTGATAAAGGATTAATAACCAGAATCTACAAAGAGATCAAGAAACTCCACAATAACAAAACAAACTCCACA